TGAGGGGATGTCACATGGAGGTGGGTAGAGACCTGTTCTCTCCTGCAGAGTAAGGCAGAACACACTCCAATGGAGCAAAGCTCAGGGAGTCAAGGTTCCATTTGGATGCCAGGAAGCACTTCCTGACAGTTAGGACCCCGAGGGTGTGGAATGGGCTTCCACGAGAGATTGTTGAGGCCCCATCGGTGTGGGTGTTCAAAGATAAGCTAGACATGCGCATGGTGGGCATGTCGTGAGCAGAGCTGGCTGGAGCTGGGGGTCAGACTAGATGGCCCGGGAGATCCCTTCTGACTTGTTGTTTCTATTTTTCTAATTTGACAAGGATTTGCCCAGGCATCATCAACCGCAGCCCCTGCCTGATGGACATCTAATCCCACTAGAGCATGAGACAGTTTCAGACTTCTTGCAACAGAGAAAGGAAGGCCTGATCTTTTTTATTTGTTCATTCCGTAAATATAGAAGCTGTTTGATCAGTCCAAATCTTCGTTAAGAAGCATGATAGACAAGGCCCAGCAGCCGTTGCTTAGAAGGTTACGCGGTTTAGCTTGGTTCTCACAGTCAGACATGTCATTCCGAGGGACTGGTTGTTCTTCGGCTCTTTTGTTTTGTTGACATATACATATTGATCATTGAATATAAAAACGGAAGAAGCATTTTATCGACATACAAGGAATCCAACACAAAGACACCAGAAGATGGACGGGGCAGATCTGTAGATTCCCTGGCATGGCAGCATTACCGTGGTCCCCTGCCAAAAGCGGCTAGCACAGGGAGGGACCGGCCAGGGCAGCCTCAGCAGCAGTCTAGTTGCGGAGGCCATGGGGCTGGCCCTAAAGGATGCCGAGGTCAGAATGATTTTGGATGCCCTTCCCGGATCCCAGATCAGGATCCACCTTGGGTCGGCTATGCGCAGGCTGCAGACCTACACCTGTATGGGGCAGAGAGCCCCACGGAACTCAAAGGGAGTTTTGGTGTGGAGCCAAATGCACAGGAGGAGGCTCTTAGTTCCCGCGGTCATGAAGGGGCGCTTTCAAGTAATGCATTTATACATTCGCAAAGGCAAGGATGGGCCCAGTGCCAATTCTTCATCCAGGAGCACCCAACTCACCTGCTAGTGGCTCGTGGCTGGGGGCTGGGGGAAGCACCTGAGACAGAGAGCGGGCCTGAGTCTCCCCGCAAAAAGCCACAGGTTTGCAGATCCACCCCTTTCCGAGGTGAGATGCCTTCAGCTGTTGACTGCGGTGAAATGATTGGGGGGGGGGGCAGGATTTTGCACTGCCTCCACAGAAGGCCAGCATGGCTAAGCCCCCAGCTGTGGTGCTGAGCACACGCTTGCGGCTCCTCCTCTGAATCCTGCCAGCCCAGGGGAGTTCAGCTTTGCAGGAGAGCCGCACGCGGGGCAGTCCATGGGACTCTGAGGGCGGGCGGGCTGCGCTGCATTTGTCGCTCTGCAAAACCTCTGGTGGCGTGATGTTAAGAAATCAAAAGGATGGCAGTGACGAAGCAGGGAGGGCTGCGAAGAGCGAGAGAACGAGCGAGAGGCTGCCAGCTCTTCACAGTTCCTCGTCCTTCAAGGCTGCTGCCTTTGGAGCTGTCACCCCCCCGGAGCCTTGCCCATGCAGGCAAGAAGGGTGGGGGAGGAGCTGCTCCCCGCGCATTTTCCAGGAGTCCCTGCTGCAGAACAAGTGGCACCCAACTCTTCCTGGAGGGTCCCCCACTTTCTTCATGGGGAGAATTCAAAATGTGCTTCCCCACCTGCACGGGAGGCACTCGCCTCCCCTCCCTTCCTCTCACTCCCCTGCCTCAAACTGCCCCAGGCGGAGAGCAGGCTGCAGTCTTCTCACCCGTCTGGTCTGAAAGTGACGGGCTGGGGAGCATGGGCGGGAGAGAGGGAGCTCGGTCGGCTGTGTCCTTGCTGTGCCGGCGGGGGGGGGGGGGGGGGGAAACTGCACCCCCCCCCCCCCCCCCCAGCCCTTGACATGGGCCACCTTCGCCCCTTTGCTGCTGGGACTGACAGCGACTCCTCCAGGGGCTGGAATTGCGTGCGTGCGGAGGCACTTCCGGCCTCGGGGCCGAACTGCACTTTCAGGGCGCCGGATTCCAGCGGGGGGAGGAGTGCCAGCACCGGCGGGATGCTCTTGGCCTGCCACCCGTCAGCCTCGAGGAGATGTGCCAGGCTCTCAGAAAGAGGGCTGGAAAAACCTGGGACCAAGCGATGGGTGTGGGCAGGGAGGGGAAGGGGAGCATCCCTCCCAGGCAGCTGGAGAGTCAGTCTGGGGCCACAGCAGGGCAGCCTTTGGCCTGAGGTTGGACAACCCCAGAGCAGAGCCCCCCCTCCTGCCCCCAGCATCGTGAGCAACTGTGCCAAGGGCTAGGGAATGCACTGGGCGGGAGGCTCCTGGCGGGGGGGGGGGGTGGGCATAGAAAAATAATCTTCCTCCACGAGAACACATTTGTAAAAAAATAACACCAGCTCTGTATGGCTCAGTCTGAAACCTGCCGCATTTACATTGCCCAACTACAAGCCGAGGAGGAGGAGGAGGAGGGTGGGGAGACTCGGCCTTGTTGCCTCCAGTCTGGGGCTCTGAGGTTGGACCATTCCCTCCACGCAGGCAGATGGAGGCGGCACGCGACTGCCCTCCCGAAGCCAAGAAAAGGGGAGGGAGGGAAGAAGCAGGGCTCCTGCGTGGGCCCAGGAGAGGCACGAGGGAAGCCCCACGAGGAGGAGGCAGCGGCGGCGAGGGATGGGCAGGCGAGACGCCCCGGCCTGCTGCTCAGCTCATGCTTTGCTCTGATCTCGGGGACAGCTCAGCAGGCCCTCCTATAACTTGCGGGGGGCTTTGTCACACAAGAGGCTGGAGAATGGGGCAGCGGCACCCGGGCCCGTGGGGCAGACATGCAGTGGCTGCAGCTATACCGAGGGAGCAGGTGCCCTTCAGGCCACAGGAGGCGCGAGGTGCCATCGGAAGCACGGCTGAGCCAGGGAAAAACACGGCAGCTTCCGCGACGGCACGGCACAGGCGCACGCTCCCGCCTCAGCCTACAAAACAGCTCCGGCACCTGCTCAGAGCTGCACCTTCACTCTCATCGGCAGGATAATGTCTGAGGACATTTCACAAAAGCCCAGGCTGTACATTTCCAAAATGCAAACATGTCGATTTGGTAGAAATCTTTGCATTTCTTCCTCTCGCCCACACAATTTCATGCTTTTAACACTATTTTTTCTTTTATACTCTTTGGGGATCCTCTTTTTCCCCTCCCTGCCTCTGCTGTTCACTGTGCTGCACACGGAAATGGGTCTGAAAGCCACTTCACATCCATGGATCATTCCAGGGAATGCTGTGAAAGTGCTCAGAGGGAACCCTCGCTTCCCATGGTGTACAGACACACAGCGTTGTTGACTCGAGCCAAACAGGTGTGACAGTCTGTTGACTTTACAAGCACATAAACTGGGTTATCAGAGGAAAGTACATACCACAACCAGTGAGCCTTCTTTAACAGTGCTTCCTACTCTGAAAACGAACGACATGCCTTTCCCCAGCTTTACGCCATAGTTTCGCAAAGGCACTGAGAAATCTCTCACCCTCTGCATGGTTTTTAGGCATTCTTCTTTTGCGTTCAAAGCTTAGGTTCGAAAACATAAAGGGAGAGAACGGCAAAGCCACGTTTGCCACCTGCAGCCTCGCAGCAGCTGTGGACCAGGTTCCGTGCCCAGCGTGACTCCTGCCCACAGAATGGCCACTGCCTGGCTCTTGCCACACGCACACGCACCCTGACCCTGTGCCCAGGGCCTCGAAGAGTCCTCCTCTCTGGTAAGCACGCCTTAATCGCTAAGCTGTTGAACAGCAAACCTCCTTTATTTTCTGTCCCAAGAGCTGTTCCCTATTACAGTGCAGCTGGTGCAAGCCCACGCAAAGAGAAACAGGTCTCCAGAAATGCAGCACGTTGACCGGGTCTGCTTGCACACTGGGTGCATTGCAGGTGTCCTTTTTCTGCAGGGAGGGGAGCGCAGGCTTGCATCCCACTAAGGCACGATTCATGCATTGGTGGCGACCCCTCCGGGCAGCCTCAGAGGGCCAGGCCATGTGCAGCCCCTCCCCAGTCGGGCACCGGCCTTCCGGGCCCTCGCAGGCATTCCGGCCCCTTCCCTGCCTGCAGGTTCTCCCGGGCTGCTTCTGTCTTTTCTTCATCGGCAAAAATCCGTTACAGAAGGAAAGGCAGGAGCACCACAGTTCCTTTTGATGGGCACCACATCTTGGAAGCACTCTAGACCAGATGCTTAAACAAGAGGTGGGGGCATACGGGGCAGAAAAGGGCGGGCGGGGGAGGAGAGGCAGCAAGCTGCATCCCCAGCTGTTCTTTAAAGTGTGGAGGTAGGCACTGCAGAACAGTTTTGGGGACAGTGTGTGTGGGGTGGGCAGGACAAGTTCCTCCCCAGCCTGCGTTAAGCCAGCCCAAGGCTTCAAGCGGGGCGGGCTGTGGGGGGGGGGGGAGCAAGGTGTGAGTGGGAGAGAAAGAGTCTCCTGCCTCCTGCCTTCCTGCCGGCCCATAGCTGAGACCCTGCATTTCCCCCACAGAGCGCCAGCCCCAGCCCCTGCACCTCCCACCTGTCCCTCTGCCGCGGCTTCCATTCCCGCGTCCTGCTACAGCCAAACTGCAAAAGGAGTGGATCCCGGCAGCCGAGCACCGGATGGGTCCTCCCCACCGTGGCCCGTGGCAACACACAGAGCCACGGGGGCAACGGGGGCAACCTCTCCAACCTGGGCAGACCACCCCCCTCGTTTGCAAACCTTTTACAAGCTGAAAATGGAGAAGGGGGGTGGTGGGGAGAGGGCACTTCCAATCCCCCCCGTGGGCGGCCACGGCCCGCTTCCTGCAGGGGTCTGGACAGGCGCCTGCAGCACAAAAGGGGTGCTGAAGCCCAGCCCAGCTCAGCCCCGTCAAACAGTAAAAATCAGATGCCTGCTCTGACTAGTCATGCTGCAAAAACGCCCCCCACCCCCAGTGCTGTTTAATCCCTGTGGCACGTTCTCCGGCCAGACAAATGCTTGTCAGAAGATAAAAAACAGGGAGGGAAATGAGGAGCCGTGGACCAGAGGGACTCTGCAGCTGCAGCCAGCCCAACCCTTCTCATGCCCTTTCCCAGCCTGTGTTTCTTGCCTTTGGAAAAAAAATGTTTACGTTAAGAAGCCTACACGTTTGGTCTGGTGACATTTGGAGAATGGTTTCACTCCAGCGTCTTTGGGACATGCTGTGCTTTTCTTGGATGCGAGCCACACTCTTCACTTGGCTTCGATATAGCTTAAGCAAGCAAACGGGAGAGAGGCCAGGAGTCGGGGAAAAGTTCCAGGCAGGCGGGATTCCCAGTTAGGATCGGTAGTCCTTTTTGCTGTAGGGTTTGTTGCCCAAGATGCTATCGATCTCATGGACAATTGAAGAGGAGAGCTTGGGAAGAACCTGCTGGGTAGAAGTAAGAATTCAGAGGAAGCCCCCACGGAGAGAACTTGGGCCTTACACTGGAGCGCCCGGGCCCTCCCTGATTTTACCCTGGGAGTGAGCAACTTGTGGTCCTTCAGAAAGCTCCCACGATCCTTCACCACCAGCTATGCTAACTGAGGCACCTGGGAGTTGCAGACCCTGGGACTGATGGGAACTGCACCCAGCACCCCTGCTTGGTGGCTGGTTGGGAAAGCTCACTGTGGGTCGCCCACATGGAAGCAGAGGGAAGCCTCAACTGGAGCAGGGGAGCCCGGGAAACAGAGCTGGCCTCCATCCTGCAGCAGCTTCCCCGGAGAGTCAGGTGGGCAGACAGACAGAGGGACAGAGGAGGGGGAAAGGGCTCTTGTGTGATGCGTCCTGGGCTTTGGCTCAGACACACGGGGCTGGGCAGGATTTTGGAGCCAGCTAGCAGTACTTCCTTTTTACATGATGTCTCTTTTACAGGTTTGCCTTTCTGGGGATTCCACCCAACCACCCCAAATACCGCATCCATGCCAGGAATGATAAATCTGCATCTAGGAAGGAAGCATTAAACTTTCCCTTCCTATGCAGCAGAGGGTTGCAGTAAAGACCAGACACATCCCAAGTCCTCCACACAACTGCAGAAATAAGCAAGACACAGTCACAAGACGCATCCTCCACGTAACGTGAAGCTTGGCCCTTATTCCTCTGCAGAGGGCGAAACCTGAGTGGCTGCAGAACTGCAAACCCCGTGACAATCCGGTGCAGGGCTGACTGTATGCCTTGCCACGGGATGTGCAGGTTCCTGGGGTGTGATCTGAAAGGAAGGCAGGTGTCTGCACGTGGTGGGGGGGGGGGCACTGCCTCTTTTGCCCTCCTGCAGGGGTCGCCTGCCCATACTCTGGGCAAGCTCCCCCAGCACCTCCTCCTGGCCACGCAGGACCAGCAAAGGCTGCTGCAGCCCAGTCCGGAGCGTGGAGAAAGACTCACCTGTATTGCTCCAATATTCTCCATCAGCTGATCTGCATTAGATGCTCCCAGCAGAACCGAGCTGACCCCTTCATTCCGCAAACACCAGGCTGTGGGGGAAGCGAGAGGGTCAGGGGAACGGGACAAGACACAGCTGGGCACCTCGTCTGGGGGCAGAGCACCTCACTGAACATGCGCATGGTGGGCATGTCAGGAGCAGAGCCGGACGGAGCCAGGGGCCAGACTGGATGGCCCGGAGACCCCTTCTGACTCGCTCTGCTTCTGTGTTTCCACGCTTATGAGGCTGGGAGACTTTTCCCTTTCAAAAGAGGGAAGGAGCAGATGCAGAAACCAAAGAGCCATGGCTGTCGTGTGTCTGCCCTTCCGGGGAGTTTGTTCCGCGCAACTGCAGGCTTGGCCGAGAGCCAGCGGCTCGTTGCTGCCCATCGTCACGAAGAACAGAGGCTGCCATGCGCACGTTCCCAGGCGCGCAAGAGAGGCCAACCGTTTGGGTGGGCCAGAGAGCTCAGACGCCAAATGAGCTGCATGTTGGCAGCCGGCTGGTCCCGGCAGGGCTGCCCCTCGGGCTCCGACACCGAGGTGGTTGTTGGAACGGGCTCAGCTCCAGCTGCGGCCCAAGGCCCTGGGCACCCGCCTGTGCCTGCTCGGGCAGCCGAGGGGCCAGCCAACCGCCCGTGGGAACGAAGGAGGGCAACAAAGTCCTGAGGAGGGGGCTTTAGCGATGGGGCGCCCCTGGGATGGGGAACCCCAGCCTCCTGGGAAGGTAGACCCAGATTCCATCGTCGCGTTCGGAGGGCGGCCCCGTTGGAGTCCTAGAGGGAGGAGCACAGGTGGCCGGTTCCACAGCCCTCCACAAGACAGGCACACAAGGGGGCCAGAGAGGGCTCAGCCTTTCACTTTGTGTATGCTCAGAGACTTGCAAGCAAAACAAACACAGAGCGCTGGCAAGAAGCGCTGGTGAGTCTGCTGCTGCTGGGGAGAATGGAGAGGGCGCTAGCCCAGCAGGGCAGTTTCCAGCTCTTTCAGGCTGAGCCAGGAAGGGGGCCAGCGGGGCCAGGCTCAGGCTCAGGCTCAGGCTCAGGCTCAGGCTCAGGGCAACCGTTTCCACTCACCTATGGCGAGCTGGGGCAAAGTACAGCCGAGCCGCTCCGCAATGGCCTGCAGCTCCTTCAGCTTGGCTTGCTGCCGCCTTCCCTCCTCGCTCAAGATCTTGTCTTTCAGCCACTGGTAGCCCTGCCGAGGGGAAGGGGGGGCAAAAGGTCAGTGGGCTGAATGGGGGGCACGGCAAAACCTGGGTGACGGGCCTCACCGCACCGACATGCATCCCAGCCCCACCACAGCCCGGAACAGTGCCCCCACTCACTTTCAGCGATGCTCGTGAGTAGGGGGGGATGCCGCCATCATATTTCCCTGAAACAATCCCGCACGCCAAAGGGGACCATGTCATGGCGCCCACACCTGAGGAAAGAAGGGGAAGGCCAGGTTGTGGGGAGAAGCAAGGGCGGCATCACGCCGGAAGGGGCCGCGACGAGGTCTCAGCATGGCCGGAGGGGAGCATGGGATCGAGGGCAACTCTGAGCGGTGCTGCAGGGCCGCTGGGGCAGGCCGGGGCCTCCCCTCCTGAGCACACGGGGGCTGCTTTCCCATGAACCTTCCAGGCCCTGCCCTAGAGGTGGTGGCGGTGGAGCTGCTCTCAGATAATCCAGCATGGAATTCTCTTCCTATGACTATCATGACATTATAATATCACAGATTTTAAATTTGCACAATTGCTTTCAATTTGTACATTGCAATATCTGTGTTTTGGATACAATGGTTTTAATGCTTACACTAAACAATTTAAATGATGTACGTTTTTGTATCTTGACTGTGGATTCTGTTGGTCCCAACCCTTCTGCCAAAACAGCTAATCTGTTTTCATAAAATTGTATTAAATAGCAACTGGGCATTTATACTGAAATTATAATTCACTAATAACATTTTTGTAGATCATTTTTTCCTCTCAATTATTAAGCAAAACACATAAAATAAATGGCTCTTGCTGCCCTCTTGGCAAGCATCCGCTCCTTCTCCCGCCCGCCCTGTCCCGGGGCACTGCCGGAGGAAGTGAGCCTCGAATCCTGGGTGCCAGTGGGCGGGGGGGGCAGCAGGCCCTCTCCCAGCCAACACGCACCGGCCCCACCCAGCAGCCTTCCACGGACTCCGTGTGGCTCCACCAGGCTGACGGAGGCAAAGACAAGGCCTCTCACGCAGGCAAAGCCCCTCATTTCAGCCCCCACCTCGCTGCCAGTATCATTGTTAATGGGAATAAATACGTAGAGAGCCTCCTCATCCCCAGCGGGAATTTGGCGTGGCGGCATGAAAGGCTGTGCACAACTCCTCGCCCAGCCTTCTCCAGCCTGGCGTCCTCCGGATGTTTTGGACAGCCACTCCCATCCTCCCCAGCCAGTCTCCATGCTCCTCAGCCAGGACATTAACAGTAGCCCCCTCCTTTACTGTGGGACACTGCCCCCGCAATATCAGCCCTCCTTACAGTTGCACTGAGATTTCTTACAAACAAAACACACTCCAGGAATTGTCCTGCCCTTGGAATAATTCATAGGATCACACACATTTGTGTTGCACCGACTGATCAACGATTAACAGGCCACAATCTGTGCAATTCCACGACTGAGGATTCCCCGAACAAGGTGCAATCCAGCTTGCTTGGCGGGGCAAGCCAGGATCTCCCCAGGGGCTGCCCCCCACCCTCCGATCGCCTGGGGGTTTTCCAGCCTTTGCGTGCCTGTTTCCCCGCAGCCACAGCAGAGAGCGGGAGGATTGCGGGCAGGCCCTGGCCAGGGTGCCCCTGCGCCAAGTGGTCCTTGGAAGGGCCCCCAAGCCTGCCCTGGGTGCAGGGCTGCTGCCCCCAGCGGCAGGCACTCACCGATCTTGTGGAAAAGCTCTGGGAGCTGCACCTCCACCTTCTCTCTCTGGAACATGTGGTACTCCGCCTGCTCGCAGATGGGCGGGATGAGGTTGAACTGCCGAGCCACCGAGTATGCCTCCTGCCGGGAAGAGGGCCGTGCCAGAGTTAGGAGGGGCGGCAGGAGAGCAGGCTGCTGGCCGCAGGGCCCTTTCCTCGCCTGGTGCAGCTCGGCCCGGGCCCAGCGGCTGAGCACAGTGTGGGGCCGGGCGAGTGGGGCCCCTGGGATGCAAGACGCCGGCCAAGTGGAGGTGGATGGGGCTCCGGATGGTGCCGAGTGCTTTCTGTCCACAGCTGAGTAACTACGGCAGCTCCTTAGACTAGGCTGCTGTGCCCCAAACAGGAGCCCAGGAAGCTGCAGGGGAGTCACAGCAAAGGGGAGATAAATAGCGCAGAAGATGGAACTGGAGGCCTGGGCGGCTCAAGGCAGGGGACAGGAAAGGGCAGCAGCTTGGGGCCCTCTCACTGCACAGAGGCAGGTGTCCCATTCGGACCACGTGCCCCTTTCCAGTGGGGCAGAGCTGTCTGGGGAGAGGGACCGGAGTGCTGTCCACACCCAGCTCACTGGTGGCACTGAGAGGTCACCCTCGTTCGTTCCTGCCATTTCCCTTTTCCTCTGTGCTGCAAGAAGGCTCGGGACAGTCCCGCCTTGCAGCATGGAGAAAGGGGCTGCGGCTGGGACTGGGCTCTGCTGCCCTCTCTGGGGACTGAGCAACCCTCCCTCCTGGATGCAGGTGGAAAAGACTCCGCCTGCCCAAGAGGAAACCGGCCGTGAGCTGAGGGTGAAACATGCTTCCCAGCCAGAGGCCAAAGCTCCCGAGAGAAGCTGTGCAGAGACGTCTGGGGGCACCCCGTGTTCAGGTGCTTCCTGGCCAGAAGCCTGAGCCAGTGTGTGCGGATGCCAAGGAGAGGCCAGGCCAGGCAGGTGGGCGTCACGGAACCCTGGGGGTGCAAGGCCAGTGGGCAGCAGCCATCTCTGGATGGAAAAGGCCAGGCAAGGTGTGTGGAAGAAGGCCTTGCTCCGTGCGCCGGAGAGAGCAGCCCCTCAAGCAAGCTAGAAGCCCTGCAAGGGGCCGGTCCCCATGGAAGCTTTCTGAGTGACCATCCTGGGCTCCAAAGCAGAGCTGGTGCTACAGACAGGCTCATGTTGCCTACTGGTTAGAGCATCAGATGGGACTCGGGAGACCGCCTTGCAGCTACTGTGCAGCCACAAGGCTCCCTGGGTGACTTCGGGCCAGTGCCTGCCTTCCTGCCTGCCAGGGCCGCTGCGAGCCTGATATGGGCGGGAGGATGAGGCCCTGGGAAAGTTGCTTTGGGCTCCTTTCAGGAAAAAGGCAGGATATAAAAACCAGAAATAAATATTCCTCTCAACCAGAACGCTCGGGTGCTCCTGAAAGCCAAAACAGGGACCCATCCTGAGAAGGAAGTGCTCGAAAGACAGGCGAGATCCACGGCCAATAATAGGCGCCCTCTCGTTCTGAGGTGAACTCGGGCAGAATAAATCTAAATGGGCAGAAAGTGCACACTGCCACTGAGCAGCAGACAGGACCAGAGCCGGTCCCCTCCTGACACACCGCCCCTCCCCACAACCCTCCGTCCTGGATCAGCAGGCGCTGGCCCAGCCCAGGCGGCTCTTTGTCCGAACAGGAAGTTTCCTCTGCTCACGAGTCTCCCGGTCCCCATCTGAGTGCAACCCAATTAAGCAGAAGTGCACCCAAGCACCGCTGCCCGTTTGCATCACCGTCCAGTGCTCATCTCCTGATCTCTGGCAGGGATGCTGCCATGCCAGGGAGCAGGAGCAGCGGCAACAGGCTCGGGGGCCTGCGGGCGCGTCCCACGGAGGGCGAGATTCCCCACAGCCCTGGCGCCCCGTACCATGATCTCCATCGAGCTCCATCGCGAGGTCCCCCAGTACATGGCCATCCCTTGGTTGATCACGTGCGTCATGGCTCGGACCGTCTCTGGAGAAGGAGAGCGAGTGAGAGAGAGAGAAAGAGGGCGGGAGCAGCGTCAGACCCACAGGCGAGGGAGTGAGGACGCTCACTTGAATTAAGGCCACGACACCAAAAAGGAACAACAAGTAAATAAACAAACAAATGAAGGGGAAGGGGTGCTTTCAACTACTCAGACATCTTGCAAGCAGTGCAAATCTAGGTTCCGAAAGGAAAGGGCTCAGAGCAGGAACGTTCCAGAGAGACATCCTGACTGGGGCTCCAGGGAGATGGCTCGCGATTCTTGTGTGGCCCCTCTGCCCCCGACAAAAGAGGAAAAAATGTGGAAAGAAATGAGACCAGCAAATGGAATAAAACAGACAAGGACAGAATGGCAGGTGGGGGGGGGGCTCCATCATGGGTGCATGGCAGGAGGATGACAGAGTTATGGAAAGGGAAACTTTGACAAGCTCTCCTTGCATCAGCCCAGGAAAAGCCTCCTTCCGTGTGCCGTCTTGTCCCACTGGCAGGGCAGTCCACGCACAACGGCCTGCCGGAAGGGGCTGCTTACGCTCTGAGCAGGAAGACTCCTGTCTGGGAACCGTGTCTGCAGGTCACTGCCTCATCAGGCAGGATCCATGCTGCACAGCCAGGAAAAGCCAGGCACGTACGAGCCTGCACTGGCCCGGAGGGCCTCTGGGTTGGCTGCTGTCCAGTGGGGCTTTGGGCGGGTGCAGACTCTTGAGGCCCCTCTCTGCAGCTCAGGAGCTCCTGGGCTTTCCCAAAGGCAGCCCAGCCAGCCCTGCCCAGTCAAGCCAGCATGCTCCAGAAGCCCCGAACCACTGCGCCCAGCCCTGGCTATGCCCGCTGGGCCTGATGGCAGGTGCAGTTCCCTGCATTTGGGAGGTGCCAACCAGCTGCCCACCGTTTCCTCAGAAGGCTTCCCAGCCACTCTGGGTAATTAAGCCCGGCTTGTCCAGAGCCCCGTGTCTGGGGAGGAAAATCGTGGGTTCCAAAGGTGCAAGCTTAAGAAGCATTCACAAATTACGAGTTTTGCACTGTGCAGCCATTTGGGGGTGGGGCAGAGAGCTTTGGGCAGTGCTTCCTGGCCTGCCTGAGAGCTGCTGAAGCGCTTGGCAGAAAGGGCTCGGTTGCGCAGACCTCTGCTTTTGAAGTACAGGAGTTGCAACTGAATGCAGAATGTGGGTTTGTTTTGCTTTTGTGTATTTTAAAGTTAAGCTTCTAGCCCTTAAGATGGGAAAGATATGCTTGAAAGTGTCTGAGCAAGGAGCTATGAATGCTCATGCTGACATTAATTCCCCCTTTTACGGGGCCACAGGGTGCTTTAGGGACTTTGTGGATCTTTGATTTCCAAAATTCTTTCAGGATTTTCCCCTTCCCACCGCAAAGGTTTTGAAGCATGCAGTGCAAAATATCTATCCAGTCAAGCAAAGAAAAAATCATGCCTGAAAGTGCAGGAATTTAACACCCTCCCCCAAAAAAAATCAAGTCCCATGCACTGAAGGGTAGCGATGCCGCTCCAGCAGCGCTCTCCAGCCTGGCACCCCAGGGGATTCTGGGCACTTCAGTTTGAAATCACTGGCGGGCACCTGGCTGGGGATGGCTACTCTAGAGGGTTCAGGGCTCATGCACAATGCCAGAGGTACGTGGGAGGGCGAGGCACATTTATGCTCCCTCCCCCCCAATCTGCCACTGGCTTGGATACTGCCCAGACAGGCATCAGGAGTATCCCTGCCGGTTGTCTCCCGACCTTCCAGGACTCTCGGAAGCAGGGATGGCGAGGCTCCCTGCTGAGCGGCGGGGGCGAGACCGGGGAGCATAAATGTGCCTCGCATGTGGGGCTGGCCCCTGAGACAGACAGGCTGCCTCCCCGGCGGACAGCGCCCTTGAGAAGCGTGGGGCCCCCTCCCTGGCCATCGGCTCCAGCAGCCTCAGGGAGAAGCCCGGCCCTTCCGCCTGCTGACGCTTCCCATCTCCGGGTGTTGCGTGCCTTCCTGCTTTTGAAGCCTGCAGGAGGGAGCACCTCCTTTCCCTGCTGGAGCGCAGGCCGTTCAGGAGCCCTTCCGGACTGAGAAGTGGGACGAGCACCATCCAGATGCGTGAAAGCGGGGATTTCCAAGGGCCAGCCTGCATTTCAGGGCCCCGCGAGACCAACGCTTCCAAAAGGCAGCTCCCATGGCTCAGGAGAGGCTGCCGACGTGCTTTGCCAGTGCTCCAGGCAGGGCGGCCTCCCAGCCGGCGACTCTGAGACACTCGGCGTACTGCCCTTGGGCCAGGGAGCCCTTCCCCCAGGCAGAGGACGCCTGCTGCTCAGCCTTGCCCCGGCCACGATGCTGTTCTCCATTTCCCCTCAGTCCCAAGTGGGCCGCTACGAGCCCGCCATGGCTTCCGGGCAAGGAGCACCACGCTGGCCACGCCGAAGGGCAGCCCCACGGGCCTGTGCTCTGGGAACGACAGCCAGGGCAGGGGCCGGCACTGAACAGCCCCAGGCACAGTCTTCCCATGGTGCGACTGGGAGCAGCTTTCTCCTGAGCCTCAGGCCATGGGGAGGGGGTGGGGTTTGCAGCAAGGTCACAGGCAGGGGGCATCCCTGGAAATGCCCCCCCCACCTCCGCATGGCAGGAGAGCACAGGAAGTATCCCCACACTGGCTCCAGGGAATGTTTTTTCCCAGTTTGACTGCCATGCAAGGAACTGAGACCCCTGGAGCAGGTGGCCCTCCCCTCCCCAGCTGCAACCCTGCTCTAGCGTGGGCACCCCTTCCCTGGACATCAAAGGATGCCGAGGGCGCACAGAGCTGGACCCCCACGCCCTCAGCGGAGCCCCTCGTGCCCAGTGAAGATGGGCAGCAAACAGGGCACCCTCCGCAGGAGCATGTGCACGGAAGGAGTCCATGTGCAGCAGGAAGGGGGCTGCCCCCTAAGGCCTGGTGCCTTTGAGCATGTCCTGCCTGCTCTCGCCTGGTCTTCGGATCACCAGTTGCTGGGAAAGGGGAGGATGTGAGGCAGGCCACCAACCCAGGGATGAGCACAGGCATGGATGCCAAATTCCAAGAGAATGCAGAAGGAAGCACCATGAGCACCTGCACAGGTGAGAGGCATGCGATGCAATGGAGAGGAGCTTAGGAAATGGCATGAACCAGGAAGGAGAATGCTAGAAAGAACCAAAACGATCATTTTGCATTTTAAGTATTACTTGCAAGATGTTGCTAAGGGGCAAAGGGGTTTTTTTTCCAGTTTTTTTCCCTCTTTCTTTCTTTGCTTCCTTCAGGCATTTTATGGAGAATTTTGCCATCCGAGTAAAGGAAGGTACTGCCAATAAGAATAAAAAAAATGTGCGGATTCCGTCCCATAAAATGCCACTTGGATGCAGATAATCAAGATGGGGGTACAGTGTACCTTCTATGATGAATGTTCGCGACTTGGAAGAGCTAAATGGGTTCCCTGGTGATAAAAGAAAGATTTAAGAGAGACCAGAGTTTACAGCTGCTGGCTGACCACGTGGCGCGGCAATACACGCGGTGCAGGGCGGGAAGACCTACCTCCCCCCACCGCCTTTGCAGAAGAGAAGGCCGGCCCCAGCAGGCGCGGGGGCCGCCCTAAATGCTGCTTGGGGCAGGGCCTGCATTCTCACCCATGTTCAGGGGCGGGGGGGCGGCTTCCTGCTCACCTGGGGCGGCACATCCAGTGTGATGATTCCTTGAGCGCAAACTGCTGCGGTCCCCCATCAGAGGCAGGTGGTGCTGAGTCTGGCTTTGCGCCAGTGCCAGTTTTGCCTCCTTCATGGGCTCACTAGGAGGCAGGCTGCCCTCTCTGGGTCTCAGTCCCCCTCCCACCAGCAAACTGGGGGAGAACAGCCGTGACTCACCTAGGGTTATGGGAGCGACACTGTGGGGCAACGTGAAAGTGCCCTGCCAGCGTTAAGCGTGGCAGTCCAATGTGCAGCTCCATGGGCCATGGACTGACTCACCTGATGCCCCTTGTGCCGGATGTGCATGCCAGAAGGGTGTGAGGGGGAGGGGGAGGGCAGTGGTTTGTGCAGGACCGGGCTGTCCAGCCCCCTTCCACTCTCTTGCATGCCCAAAGTGCTTGCCTCTGCGCTTGCTTATGTCTTACTTTAGTTTCAACAAAAGGAGACCACCTCCCATTTTAATTCAGACCATGCAAGTTTACTGGGGTATAGGAAGCTGGGAAAATATTGCCAAACATTTTTAGCAAGAAGAAAATGGGCCAGTGTTGTGGCCAAGCCAAACACGCTCCATGAGGCTACCAGGACTGACATCAGTTCCACGCCAGCTCCATTCGAAAGGCAGAAGAGGAGCCCAGCCTCTTGCAGCCCAAGGGCAGAGTTAAATGAAAAGGACCAAAGGGGGTGCCCCCCAAGGCAATGGGGCAGGGCCAAGACCCATACATGCCAGCATAAAGCTCCTGCTGCAGAGACTTAAGCCGTGGGGGTGGGGGTGGCATTTCCACCATTCAGCGTGGAGAAAAGAAGGCCCAGGCCAGGAAATCAGCAGCGGATCAGGAGCTGGTGGAAATGCGGGGGGGGGGTCCATAAAGGGGTGTGTGGCCCTCTGGGGCTGCAGGTGGGCTGGATCTGAGTTTCAACAGCCTTGGTCTGCAGAAACATGTGAAAATGAGGTGAGTCATTTTCACCACACCCTGGATTTGCACCAGCTTTTGCACAAGGCTGCACACGTGGGCCCGTTTCCAAAGTGGATGCTGCTTATTTTCAGAATCGTCTCCCCTCCCCCAAGAAACCCACTTCCAGGGATTACGAACTCATGAGGAGAGCTGGCTGCAGCAGCATTTTGGTCTCCCCGAGTTAGGGCTGCCTGATGCAGATTGCCTCAAGGTGAAAAACATTTTACATGCCTCTTTTTGGGGTGCTGCAGGCTGGCAGGGCCTGGCATTGGTCCACCTCCATCACAATCTGGGTTGCAAGCTCCTTGGACACACTTGGAGAAAATCAATCTCCACCCCCTTCCTGGAATGTGCTGAATGGACATCAAGGGTGGCCCGTTGGGAAGGACAGTGGTCCCTTTGTCCCTGGAGCAGTTCCCCGTGTGCCCCCTGCCCCTCCCCGGAGGCCTTCCTGAACCGACAGAAGAACGGCTCTGGAAGGAGGTGCCCACACCTGGCCGCCTGGCTGTGGGGAAGACACTGGGGAGGCCCAGCCCAGGCTCCTCTTTTGGGGGAAGTGGGCAAGGCGTGCTGCTCTTCTGGCCTGCCGTCTCCTCCTCTCACCAGGCGAAGGGCTGGCGAGTGAAGGCCTGCACAAGTCCACCACCCTGCTCCTCACAAGGCTTGAGAGGAACGCTTGCCAATCCCTTTTCCAAAACGACCCATGGAGGGAAGGCAGCCCCAGTCCGTGTGCCGAACGGAGCCGTGGGAGTTGGCTGCCTGGACCACAGAGGCGAGGGCCTCTCTGAGCCCCGTGCCCTGGATGCTGCCAGGCGTTCGGGATGAGGCCGCAAGGGCAGGTGGGCGAGGAAAGCAGAGGGAGCACTGGTGCGGCTGCCACACGCCCCTTCCCCAGCGGAGAAGCCCGTGCTCGCTGGGCGCGCTCATCCTGCTCCTGGCGCTGAATCACACCAGGAGGGAGGGAGGGAGGGAGGCCCAGACTCTCCCTGGTGTAGTTTCATGCCATCCTTTTATGGGATGGCACCAAAACACACCCAGCCCAGGATGGTCTGACTGGAGACCCAACATTAGCTTCTTGCAGGCAGTCAATCTCCAGAAACAGGCACTTGCCAGTGTTGGAAAGGTGGGCATGCAGGCATGTTGTGAGCGGAGCTGGCTGCAGCGGGGAGACAGACCAGATGGCCCAGGAGGCCCCTTCTGACTCATTCTGCTTCTCTGCTCACAAGACCAGCCCTCTTCCTTCCTTCTGCATGGCTACCCAGCATTCCAAAATGGCAGCAGAAGCCTTTGCTGCAGAACCTTGCAGCTTATTCCGCTACCGCAGAAAACCCCATTAGCTTGCTCATAAATGGTCCCCATGAGCTCCAGCTGGCCAGCCAGGAAGCCGCCCACTGCATCTCTGCGTGCTCCTTTGCCATGGCCCTGCTGCCCTCCAATCAGCCTCTGCTAGGGATGGGGATATGACCCGTGACCTCCCATCCGATATGGCTGCATCCACGAAGCAGCCTCTTTGCAGCACGCAGAGACACTGCATGGTGTGTCTGCATGATTCCCAGCCGGGGCATTTCGCATTTTCCCAACCAATCCTTTTTCCAACCTGTGCTGGACGCTGCAGTCTCGTCCCTGCTTCCAAAGAGATGAGATCACCCCATCATGCTCCATTCAGAGGAGCAGACGCTGACTTGCACTGACGAGGAGTATTGCAAGTGCTTGCTGCATCTCTGCATGAGTCCCTGCTCAGGAGGGGCCTATGAACCTTTCCAAATGTGAGATCAAAGAGTATCCCCAATGTTAACGGAGGAGGCCTCCTCAGGAACACACAGATATACTTCCTTGCTCTGATAAGGACCCGCAGAGAATTTCATGGGAGCAACCGGTGCTCTGAGGAAATAGGCAAGACGATGCCGTTCCACTTACCTTCCATGGGTGTATTTGGGTCTGGTCTGTTAGCAAACACCACGTCCACGTACTCCAGCTGCAGCCGTTCTAGCGAGACTTTCAGGCCTGTGGGGGGGCAGAAGGGGAACTCATCAAGTGCAGCCCCTCCCTGGTTGCTGCAGGCCCTGCTCATAAACGGGGAGTCTGCTGAGTCACCACCAGCCCACCAAGGTCTTCCCCTCCCCTCCCCTCCCCTCCTCTCCCCTCCCCTCATTCGCTTCTGGCGCTCTGCTTCTCACAGTCCCTGGAAGGCACCTGCAAGACTCGCCTATATTCAGAGGGGTGTGGCGGGGGGGTCAAAGACAGATGGGATGCATTTTGGGGGCTTGGATAGGCGGAGAAAGCCCTTTGGATTACATTTTCACAGGAAATGATGCAGTTCATATTTCCTGAACTAATGCTGTTATCTCTTTGTTTTTGCACTTCCCCAAATTTTGTGAGGTAGTTCTCTGAGGAAAAAAATACGTAGGAATTTCCCGGGGAGGAGGCACCTGAGGGAAATTTGCATTCAAAAACGTGTACGTGAACAGAAATAGCAGACACTTGCACAGATTAGGAGAAATGCATTTATTCTAACTGGGAAAGGCATTCCTCTTGATACGTGCATTTTTAAAAACATTTCCCCCAATGTCCTAAAATTGGGGAAAGCAGTTCCCATAATTGGGTGACATGCGTAAAAGCACGCAGGCAGGAATTCTTACCTTTGGGAGAAAGACAAGCAAAACTGTGCATGAATAATAGCTTCTGTGTTGCCTCTTAACCAAATTATTCACCTATTTTGGTGAAAAATCTACGGGGACATGGGATGGAAAGAACTTGTCTTTAAAAAAATCTGGAAGTTGTTGAAACCAAGAGATGATGTGTCCATACTTTGGTTTTGGGGTCCCAGCAAATAGTTGGCTGTAGAACCCCCGCTGGGATCAGCCAGCCTGAGGAAAACAACTCAGTCCTCGCCACAGGTATGAACCCAAACAACAGCTGATGCTTCATGTGCGCACACATGGCAGATGTGACCAGGTTTCTGTGTTTTTCAGTCCTTTGGTAACTCTATTAATATTTATAATCCTCCAACTGTCACTTATGGGCACAACCATTTTAAACCAATGACAGTCATCAAATAAAGAGAATCAAAAATTAACACAACCCATTACATTATTTTAAACCAATCCGAATTCCTCTGCAGCTTGACCCCCACAATGCCAAAGCTCTTCCAGAATGTTTAGATCAGCTCTGCCAGGGAAAGCCCACTTAATTCAGATTAAGGAGATTAATTTTCATCCGCCAGCAGTGCTTGAGGGCACCCGTGTGAGCTCGCATGATGAAACATTGAACACCCTTTGTCCCGGGACCCCGAGCAGCACAAGCCAGGGAACTATGGCTGCACGCACGGACCGCCGTTTGCTCTGTCTGATGCGCCGGGCACTGAGCATCGTCGAGGTGACCACAGAGGTCCTGCCTGCATCTCACCTCTGGAAACGGATAGTTGCTGCCTGGGGCAACTTGTCCTGAGGGGACACGGACCCTCCTGGGGTCATGGTGTGGAGCGCGGCTGCAGGCGAGTGAAAGTTTGCTGGTGCGGCCCCCCCCCCCCTTGGCTGCTGGAGGCTTGGACACCTCCACGGGTCTTGGCCTGTGGTTTTTTTCCTCCAATTTATATCCTGCCTTTTTCCTACAAAGGGCTCAAGGCAGCTTACTTCATTCTCCTCCTCCATCTTATCCCCACAACAACAACCCTGTGAGGCAGGTTGGGCTGAGAGTCTGTGCCTGGCCCAAAGTCACCCAGCTGGCTCCATGGCCGAGCGGGGACTCGAACCTGGATCGTCCGAGTCCCAGTCCCACGCTCTTCACCACTGCATCACACTGTTGCCCTGCAACCCTCACTAGGAAGGAGTGGGGAAGGGCTGAAGCGCAGCATCGCCACGTGATTGCAGACGGAGGAAAAGCACAATGGCCCAGGAGGCAAAGACCATTAGGGTGTAACCTGGTCTTACCACTCCCTTGCTTTTAGGACTTTTCTGCCAAGATCACCCTGCAACTGCTGCATTGGTTAGACCACGGCAAACCGGAAGCCCAAGGCGGCAAGGGGACTCCTGAGACAGCCACACTCTGGCCCCAGAGAAGGGGCTTCCCTTGGGGTGGGGCACTGAAGCCGGCTCCAAAGGCTCTTCTGGATCTGCCCCCTGCCTTACCTTCAATGATGTGCTTCCGGGAGAGCCCTCTCTCCGTCTCAGCCCTGGAAAAGGGAGATGCGAGAGGTCAGGCTGGCTGAGGGCAAATGGTTTCCCTGGGCTGCACAGGCTGACGGGCAGCGGTGGGCAAACGGGTGGCCCAGCCACTCCAGGCTTCAACATGAGGCTTCCATGGAGCCAACACTGGTGGGGGCCGGAGAATGGAGGTTCGGCACTGTGGGGAACCCCTAAACAGTCCTTTGAGAGAGAGATCCCTGGTGTCGAATGGGAATCGGGGAACCATGTGCTTCAGCACCAGGGACAGATCCTCGACAGCTCTGCCTGGGCTTTGATGGTGCCACAGGTGGCACTAGACCACCTATTTAGGTAGTGCAGTGCAGCCCCTCCCCAGAAAAGGCCAACAAATGAATGAATGAACGAATGAAGGGGCTCTCTGCAGCACTGGGCCTGCCTCGGGGACAAGCTTCCACAGCATGGACGGCGCCCCAAGAATTCAGACTGGAACTGGGGGCCATCGCAGCCACCAGCCTCCACCGGCATCCCGGCAAGGAGTGGCAAGGAAAGAGGTCACTGTGGCCCGCGGCCTCCCGGGAATCCTGATCTCTCGCCCCCAAGCGATGCGACTCCGCTGCAGAGGGGTGAGGGGGGAATTGCACTCCACCCACGTGCAGAGGCTCACTTCCCTCCCAGGAGTCCTAAAAAGAGGCAGGAAAGGGAAAGCTCCAGCCTGAGGCATCAGGAGTAGGGGGGCCCTGCACTCAAAGGACGTGAGGCTTAAGCACTGGGATGATCACGTACTTTCCTCCCCAGAAGATTTTGGTCGTTATCACGAGGCTCGAGCGTCTGCAAAGCAACAAAGAGAAAGGAAGCGAAATAAACTGGCGTGGAATGTCCAGTACAAAGCTAGGGAAGTTAGAGATTGTCAAGGCACCTCTGGCACACTGTCCTTCACTTATATATTCCAGGCACGGGGAAGAAAAGGAAAATGATACTAGGTTGGGCCATGCGTGGAGGGGTCCTGCCATTCACAGCAGGACCACCTCAAGTCCCACTGGGTTCAGTGGTGCTGCTCTAAGCTGGATCCAGCACAGCATGTGGTGCCATGCATCGGCGGCATGCTCCCGTGCGGCGCTCAGCAAGTCCGGCACACAGATGCCTGCCGTGCTCTGGTTGGAAAGTCAGGCCTTGGAATGGGGTTGGGGGGCTGCACACAAGCCCGGACATGCAGAGACCACCTGTGGCCAACTCAGCCTCCTCTGCCTCCGCCCCTCCCCCCACTGGACCGTGGACCCCGGTGGATTCTGACCAAGGGACTCTGTGGCAAAGCAATGACACGCAGAGTTTCCAGGAAGCTGACCTTGCACCACGGGTGCATCTGGCACAGAAAGGCTGCCTGGACCCCCCCACCCGCCCCTGGGTCTAGACTGGTTGCCGTGCTCCAGAAAGGCCGGGTGGCCACAGACCTGGCCAGGGCTGCAACGACCTGGGAGCAGTCTGTGACTCTCAGGCTGCATCAACCGGCAATATGGCTCCTTCCCAACGAGCCTTTCGGCATCCTTAATGCGGCTACCCAGCCCTGTGGCTGACGGCCTGTGCGGAGGCACCTCTGACAGATTTCTGTGACAGGACTGGGGCCTGTCGTCGGAGCCCAAAGGCTGCCCTTGGCCTCTCCAAGCCACCATTCACCTGACCCTGGGGGGGCTTACCTGGTAACGGCAGGATCCAGTCACCTTTGAACATGTCCCACAATGCTCTGGAGCAACACTACCTTGGGACACTGTCTGGAGTTAAAGCAACGGGTGCCTTGGATCCGGAGCAGGGGCTGCCTGACCCCCAACCCCACCCCCAGGCCACAGGGCACCCATCGGCCAAAGAAAGGAGGAAAAAGGTGGATTGGGAGGTTGGTTGGTACATTTTGGTGGCAAACCCCTCCCACGAAGTGCTACCATGGTGAATTGAGTTTCAAGCTAAATTTAAACTTTGCAGTGTTCTGCATTATTAAAAACCACAACAATAAAAGTCTCATTTCAATTTCTGGCATGATTCTAGTCCTCATGATTTCCTTCATTATGGAAGGCTAAAAATGTGAGTGCATACAGAGGTACCAGTCCATGCACAGATGGAGGGGCAGGAAGGGGATTCGGGAGGAGGGGAAAATGGTTACCTCCATCCTTTTTTCTTGATGATATTACCTAACACAACTTCAGCCCTGCAAGAAACAGAGAGAGAGAGAGAGAGAGAGAGAGAGAAATGGACAGTGTGGTTGTTAGACTCGTGTAGCAAGGACATCCCGGGAGTGCCGATGGAGCCATTCCTGCTGAGCCACATGGGTGTGTGGAACTTGGTGCCAAGGGAGAGGAAGCTGGAGCTCAGGGTTCAGGCCAGGGTTGCGGCAGAGCAGTCCTCACTGACTCCAACGGCTTGCTTGCCCCCTTCCAATGAGGGGGCCTTGTAGAACAGTAACCCACACAGAGACCCAAGGGGCAGCTCTTCTTCCCTGGCAGCAAGTAACTCTAAAAGCAAAGCCTGGGGACTTCAGCGTCAAGGAGCAAAGGCTTCCTGTCTTCAGAGGAGCTCCCTGTTATGTCTCTGCAAGAGTGACGGTTCCAAGAAGGCAACCTAAGTGGAAGGAGGCAATGCATAGATTTCTCACAGGATGCAATATGGATTTTCTGAAACTGAGCTGCAAGGATCTTCAGGTCTTTTTGTTTGATTGATTCAATTTTGGCTGCATTAAAGAACCACTGATGTCAGTCCCTCACTCAAGAGATCCTGGAAGAAATCCTCTGTCCTCCTGCTTTCCACACTGTCACCTGTGAGGACTTTACTACGCCACTAATTTTGGTCACCCAAGAGGGAAGAAAGGGAAAGGTGTGTTTTGTATCCCAGGCCAACCCTGGCTGGCTACTCCGCCCCTGCAGTGATGGACTGAAAGAAACGAGCCGCCTTGGAGGCAGAAGAAGGGCAGGGTGCCGGCCTTTCAGCATGGCCACAGAGCTTGCTCCCACAAGCTGCATCAGAGGGGCGGCCCCCTGCAAATTGCATCTTGGGACACTCCGAGGGCGTTAATTGAACCAGCATGACTTGAGGGGAACCTTGGGCAGGGCCAAGCCCATTGCCCAACACCGGCAGCTGATGGGAAGGAAAAGCGTCAGCCACACTGGGCAAGCCTGCTGCCAAAAATGCCGTCTGTGCAGGCGACTCACGGGGGTCTCCAGAGACAGGTGAAGCGTTGATGAGGCCACAGGCCAGCGAGGGGCCGGTGCCCCTCATCTCCAGCCTGCTCTCCATCTGCTGTGTCTAATGAGACAGGCCTACCATGCAGGGTTGATGTAGGAATGACAGGGTGCGCCACGTGTATGTGTGCAGGGCGGGCAGGCGCCTGTGCCGCCCCTCGACCCCCCGCTCAGCACCGTACAGGGCCACTCACTTTCCTGCCGCATATACTTCTGCCGTGTCGAAGAGGTTGATGCCGTTGTCGTAGGCCAGGGTCATGAGCTGCTCCGCCATCTGCAAGAGAGGCAATGCGGCCATCCCAGGAGCGTGCCAGACGGGCAGGTAGCACCTCCTGCCCTCACCTGCCCATGGCCCGGCGCTGCCACGGACTCCTGGAGAGGCACGCCAGTCATGGCGTGTTCACACCTCAGTTTGTCAATCCATTTCTGTAGATTTGCTTGTTTCCGTCCACAAGGGCACACACTTACATGTGTGTCACTTCTTATCCAAAGCTGCTTCTCCCCACATGCAGTTATCCAAGGACACGGGGGCCTCAGCCCCACTGCTGGAACTGCAGGGCAGGCCTTCTCCTTGGGCTACACGTACAGAGTTCCCACCCTAAGCCTTTCTCTCAGAATGTATACGGCAATACAGAATTTGCGCCGTTTTCCTCTGGTCTATAACTTATAGGGGAAATGTTGGCCTGACCGGCCTTTAGGGGGCTGCAGCCCAAGCCGCCAGAAGGCTCCAGTGGGGGGGAAGGCTGCCCAAGAGCCTGGGCAGGGGGGTGACACACGAGGCGGCACCTGCGAGGGGGAAAGAAGGGGCACGTGCTTACCTCATCGGTAATCTGCCCGCCAAATGTGACCCATGTTCCTGCAAACGAGAGAGAGAGGTGGGGGGTGGGATGTGAGGAAAATATGCATGCACCGTGGGGATGGGTGACCTGCTCAGTGTGGGGATGGATGCCCCTACAGCCTCCGCGGGGCCAGTTTTTGCTGGAACTGACCTCTGCTTGCCAAGAGCAGCACCCCTTTTCCCCGAAGCTGGAAAGCATACGCTCCTGCCCTCGGAGCCGTCCCCCAAACAGCCCCAACACCACGAGTGCGCCTTGAGCGCTCAGGGACCGAGGAGGGCGAGCTGCCCTGTCGACCCTGTGGCCACCAGCTGCTGCTCGCTGCCCAAAACGGGGCAGTGGCCAGCGTTCCCGATTTCAACCTCACGGCTGCCTCCAGGCGCCATCGTGCTTACTGCCGAGCCACTGAAATCAGTGGGCCCCCGTAGACACAGCGCACTTTGCCCCCTTGATCTCAAAGCAGGAGCACGGCTTACGTCTCCGTTCACTCCCCACCCCCAGAAACGCCTCACATGGCCTGTGGTCCTTAGCATGAGCGTCTCTGGCCACAAGTTGCACATAACCTGGACCAAAGAGAAGCTGCACCCGCAAAGCTGCACCCCCTGCCCGTTCCGTCACGGTCCCAATGGCGGCAATAAAAAGGATGGCTGGAGCTCCACGAAGGCAGAAACAGAAGCGCCGGTGGAGAGGCCAGCAGGCACACGCCGCGGGGCCTTCGCAGGTGCATCGCACAGGACGCCCTGCACGCTCCCCTGCACACACGGCCAAACGGCTTTGAAGCCTGTTGCAGGCCAGTGCGCGCCTTTGTCTTCCATAACCCAGCACAGAGCGCCTTTTCAGGAAGAAGTGCTCAGGTCTCGCAAACCTGGGGAGACGGTATGGCTCCCACTCTGTGGGCGCCCCCTCCACCAGCTCCGCTCCGGATGCACCGCTGTGGCGCCTCTCCCACAGGCTGGCTGGAGGAGGCACGTGCCCTTCCTCTGGCAGCCATGAGCTGGGTGAAAGGAAGGCCTAGAAGGTTCTACTTACCTAAGCCAAGGCAGGAAACTCGCAGCCCTGACTTCCCAAGGTTTCTGAAAGAAACACAAGCACCTTGCGATCAGCAGCTGCAGCTGTCAAAAAGAGACGCGGCCCTTGGTATCTCGGCACCGATGCTCACAGGGAGCAGATGCACTTCGGCTCCCATCAGTGTTTTGCACTCCCCGCCCCTGCAAAGAGCATACGCAGGTGCATGGCCAGGGAGTGGGGAAGCCCTTCGCTGCTCGCGTGAGCTGGCGCCATCAGAGCTGGCCAGGGCTTCGCCCCGATGCAGCAGCTGCTGGATCAGAGGCCACCAGGGTGGGCGCAGGCGCAACTGCATGGCTGCCAGGAGCCAACAGAGGCACCCCATCGCTGCAGCAATGTGCAAGAGAAGAATCCAGGCAAGCCACTCTCGTGCAATTGCCACTGAGCGCCTCGCCTGGGCAACCTCTCCTGCAACCGTTTGCGGGGAAAAGAGCTGGCAGAACAACGCTACCGCACATAGCCTTTTTCCAAAGGCTCATAGCAGGCGTGGGGGCTGGCCTGCCTAGATTCAGAGCCATGCCAATGGGTGGGGGAGGGGTCCCAGTCCCCAGAGAGCCCTGGATCTCCTACAGTAGCTCAAGGGACTGCCCCTGTGCACCCCCCCCCAACACACCAATTATGAAGATGAGTACTGGCCAGAGCATATGAGAAGGCTTTTCCCCCAAAATGATGTGAGATGCCCCTACAGGAACATCACTAAGAGCAAACACAAAACACTGAAAAGTCATTTTCATTGAAAAACCAAAGCCCCCAGAAAGCGGCTTTGTGAACTTCGTCGAGAGCTTTGGCTGCAGAAACATAATCAGTGCCTCAATCAACACAATGGGTGCACCATGAGCCCACCAGGCGCCCAAGTGACTTCCAGCAAGAAAAGTTCAAGTATTTTTTAGATCAGGTATCCGCCTTGGCCTACAACACCCATCACCCCCACCTGGCACAGCCTATGGCAGTGGTAGAAGCGCTCCAGGCTGAGGAAGGATGCCATGCCATGCCATGCCATGCCTTGCCTTGCCTACATAAATACCCGCTTTCTCTATGAATCTGTAAGCCGTCAGGCATTTTCCGTGCTGCAAAGAACAGGACCAACCTTGGTGGGCAGAGGGCCCTGCGGTGGCGGGGGGGCACAGGGTGAGGGGAAGGGTGGCGCATGGCTCTGAGCCACATCCGAAGTCCCGCTGTGCCTGTCACTTCCAGCAAGCCACGGACAGAAATCCTCTGTGGCGTTTCCTGACCTTCTGTGAGAAAGGCCAGGCCTTCTGCCCAGGGCCAGGAGGAAAGATGCTTTGGATGGGTCTCCACCGTCCAAAGCGCTCTCCATCATGGCAGCACTGGCAGATGGTCTGAGCCGAAGCCCCAAGGTTTAGCTTGGTGCTCCTGTTCGGATGGGGGCACCTGACCTCTGCCTTCGCTGGCAAGCACTGCCGCTTCTGGCTTCTCTCACGGGGTGCTGGGTGGTCGCACACCTCTTGCGGAATGAGAGGCACGACGGGGGACTTGTGTGCCTGCCTGCTAAGCCTGGTATCCAGGACTGCCTCCCGGGTGGTGAAACACAGGCCTGCAGGCAGGGTGGGGCCCCCAGAGTCCCTGTCCCATGTTCCATGGAAGTCCAGGTGGCCTCATCTTCCCCCCAGCTCCAGTATGATGGGCGGACCCCTCCCTGCATTTGCAGAGGTGAGCGTGGCGGACACAGGAGCCACGGGGAGCCATGAAGACCAGCACGTGTGCTGGCCGCTGTGGCCCCACCTGGTCCACCCTGAAGAGCGCAATGGCCCAGCTGAGGGCCAGGAGGGGCCACCCCTGCTGAGCGAGCCATCTGCTGCCAAGAACGTCCAGGAAGCATGCCCTGTCCCTCTCTGGGAAGGCTCGGGCCGCACTGGTTGCCAAAGGGAGCACTGGGAGCAGCCTGGGTGCAAGCAGGTAGGGATGCTGGATCTGCCACGGAAACCCCTGGAGAGCAGTCACTGCCGGTCCGTGCCGACAGCACTGAGCTGGATGGAGCAAGGGGCTAATACAGCATTGGGCAGCTTCCAAGATTCCCACAGCAGCGTGAGTCCGCGCTCCCTGTGCGGGAACAGCACAGCCGTGGCCGAGGACAGGCCTGGCTTGCTGGGCTTCCCAGGCCCCATCGCGGGCACCCCCGGCTTGGAAGGGCCGCCATGCAGAGGACAGCAAAGGGGGAGGGGGGGTGTGGAGCAAGCCTGGGGCGGAAAGGGCAGCTTCCTGGCTCCTGAAAGATTCCTGCCCAGGAACGGCTGCAGCTGTCTGAGGGGGCCTGACCCCGGTCCCTGCGGATCCCGTACTCTCAGCACAAACAGGGGCAACAGCTCTCCGGGGCTTCCGGTGGATTCCCTTCCGAGTTCTTCCTGAAGATGCTGGGAACCAAACTTGGGACCTTTTGCATGCAATGTACAGCCTTCATCACTCAGCTATGGCCTTTTGCCTAAAAACTAAGTAAGAGTCCGGGTCTCATGGTTCTGAAAACAGAGCAGGTTCTGTGCTGCCTTGGTTACCAGGGGAGGCAGGCCTGCCCACACCAGGCACTGAGCAGCTCCTGCTGGGGCAGCCGTTCTCCCTCTGAGTGCCGGGCTGGATGCAGCTGGGGCCCAATCCTGCCAGGCCTTTCCTGTGCCGCGTACAAGAATCACACAAAGGGAGACCTCTTGCCCGACGTGGACTGGCAGGGACTTCTCCAGAGACGCCTGGTGATGCTGAGGGGAACTTGGGAACATGCATGTAAGGTGGACATTGAGCTCCGGCCCCGTCCGGGAATCCTGCACTGCCACAGGGATGAAAACCCTGTGCTTTTGAAAAAGAGAAGCCTGCAGGCCCAGCGCCTCGGCTGTTCTGGTAACAAAAGCTGGCGCAGGGCCCCAAGCCGCACAGGAGCAAGGCCTCTGCATCCCCCCATGAAAAGGGTCCCGTGGCCCTGCCAGCTGCTCTTTGGCCCAGAAGGGGCCATCTGAAGCCTATGTGCCTTGAGCTGGGGAGCAGGGGAGGAGCTCTGTGAGGGAAACCCCCCTTCCCTCCTGGGCCATGTTCTGTCCTCGTTCGGGGTGGGGCGCTCTTTCTAGGAGGGTGCCGCTGTGGTCCTCATGACGACCTGGGAGACCCTGTGTCAGTCCCCCACACTCGGCCACGCAGCGCCCAGGTGGCCCGAGGCCCTTCTCCACCACACAGCCTACCTCGCAGGAGTGCTGCTGTGATGAAAGGGAGAGCGGCTCAGACACAATGGGCCACACTGGCAGCTTTGGGCTCCTTGCCAGAGGGGAAAGGGAAGCATATCAGTTCCATGCTAAGGGGAAAACGAGCATGCCCTGTTCGGCACCGGGCCCTTTGCCCTCCCTTCGCCATACCTGTACTTCATGCCGGGCTGCTTTGTGCCGGATTCGCTGGTGGAGGGGGCATTATGCATGGAGAGCTGCCCCAGGCTCCGGGCCACCATGGCCACGGCCCGGAACCTGCCCCGGGTGCTGGGGCTGTTGGCATTCTGCCGGTTGAGCCTGTCCTCGGCACTGCGGCTCTTGATGTTGTGATCCGAACACACGAAAGAAACTTGCATGTTGCTCTGTTCACGTGAGGCACACTGCTTGCCCCAGAACGTCAATGTCCCCCTCCCCACGGAGAGGCCCCCAGCCCAGTCCCCACAGAAGCGCTTTTCTCCCCACACCTGGATTTCCCCGATGCGGCAGCTGGAGCGCAGGAACCCTCCTAGCCCAAGAAATATAAAAACGGGAACAAAAAGAAAACCCGGCAGTTGTCACCCCATCCCCGACAAGAGCTACGTCTGGCCAGCCTTCGAGCAGCAAGCGTCCTGGCCCCTTGTCCAGACTCAGTACGTCAGACTGGCTGATCGGCGCCTTGGAAAATTCCTCCAGGCTCGGGGGGCTTCCGCGGGCACGGGGGGCCTGCAGCGGGGCTTCAGTCTAGGGGGCGGCCCACAGCCGTCCTCTTCTGGCAGGCTGTGCTCCCATGACGGCTTTCCCGGGACACAAGAGAGGTGGTGCAAGGACCGTGAAGGACTCCGGAGCAGCAGCCCTCTTGAGAACCATCCTTGTCTGTGGCGGGGAGCTGTGGGAGCGGCGGCTGCTCCCTTCAGTTCCCTGGCCCACTGGCTCAGTCCCCAGAGGTGGCGTGCTGATTTCGGAAACAGCAAAACCACATGGCGACAGACCCTCCAGCCCGGCCAGAATCTTCCTTTGGCGATGTCAGCTGCGCAGGAGACCCGGCTCCGGGCGCTGCGGGGCGTTCCTGCAGACCGGCTGTCCCGGGCAGTGCACGACGTCTTCACTGTGCTGTGCGGGGCCGCTCTGAAGCTCTTAAATGCCAGAGCCCGGCCACGAGAGCACCAGCCCCCGCCTGCCCCCCGCAGGCAGCCGCCCTCCCGCTCGCTCCTCCGCGCGGCCCCTCCCCACGGCCTGGAAAGCAGCACAGGGAAGCTAAATTTAGAAGGCGAGCCCCAGAAAGCAGGGGAGATCCTCGCGGCACCTGGGGCTGTCTGCCAAGCAGTGCAGGGAGGGAGGGAGGGAGGCAGGGAGGGCGGACAGACACCATGAGCACCTAATTAGCCTTGGGAAACCCAGTGCAGGGCACACGCAGCAGCCAGGAAATGCACCCGAGGCCCCCAGCCGGGAGGGGCGGCATGTGCCAGGCCCGCTTCCAGGGAGGAGAAGCGCAGTGGGGCAGCCTGTCCTGAATGTGCCCATCGCATGTGCGGCTGCTGCATCTCTTGTGGGCCCTCTGCCAAGGCCCTGCCTGCATGGCTGCCCCCCGCTCACCCCCTGCAGTCAGCCTGGAGGGAGGCAGCCGGCCTCACTTGGAGCAGTGCTCCCCCCCTCCCGTTTCAGCAGGACAGGGCCCTCCGACCCACGGAGGTGTGGGCCCCTCTGCGGGCCATGGGCCTCTCCCAGGCCGCCCCAGAGGCAACTGGGGTTGGGGAAGAGGCAGGCAAGGAGCCCTCTGGAACCACGGTGGGCCTTCCCCAGCCCCGGGTGCAGCTGGCCCTCCAACTGGGGGCGCCTTTGCCCAGCTCAGGCTCCCATGGCCTAGCAGGGGCCCCACGCATCTGGAGGCAGCATGCTGGCCCATGGGGAGGGGTGCCTGGCCCGGGCCTCTTTGCCAGCCTCCATGGACCTCTGTGCTTTGGCCCTCGTCAAGGGTTGGACTGTCTGCAGGAGAAGCTGCATTCAGCCCCTTTCCAGCGCCTGCCCTTCATTCCAGGGCCCTGGGGCAGAAACAGCGCAATAAGGAGAAGGTGAAACAGGACCTGTCCCCTGAGCAGCCTGTTTTTTCCCCCAGCACAGAAATCTTTGCAAGCACCATCCCCAAAAGCTCTCCTGCAGCTGGAAGTTGTTTGTTCCTGGGCCAGACAGCACTGACTATTGGGCTGTGGAGGAAATCATACTGGTGACACTGGGAAATTCAGAATCCTGTGTCACCTCGCCTAGGATCTTAAGAGGTACTGCCTTATTGGTCAGTCTAGCTCCCTCATGCTCTCTCGACGGTGCTGATCCCAGGATCTCAGGAGAGGCCCTGCTGAGCGACCCACCACAACTGTCACCCAGGGGCCGCTCCTGCAGGATGCAGAGGCGGAGGTGAAAGGGGCAGCGGGGCCATTGCGACAACTCGGCTGGGAGGCTGCTAATATTTTCCTCTCCCCTCACCATCCCTTTTCCTTGCATTTCATGTTCTCTTTTTAGACCACAAAGCCTGCAGGTGGGAAGGTACTGTTCCAGTGGTTAAGTGTAAGCAGCAGCCTGTTTGGCTCTGGAGCACACCTGATGCAAGATAAGAAAAACCAGGAGGGCCCGGAAGAGCCAGGCATGTTCGGCCTGGAGAAGAGAGGACCGAGGGCAGGCAAGTCAAGGCTGTCACACTGAGGAGGGCAAGCGCCCTCCTCCGTCAACCCAGAGCGCAAGATGTGGAATGGTGGTCTCAAGGCACAGGAAGCCAGATTCTGGCTGGACATTGGGAAACATTTCCTGACCATTAGGGCAGCATGGAACGGAAGCCAAGACCTAGGCAGGTGTGGGCTCTCCCACACTGGGGACAGCTTGGCAGCCCCTTGCCGGGGATGCTTGAACTGGGAGTGCCACACTGAGCAGGACTGTGGGCCCGACAGCCTACTGGGCCCCCTCCAATTCTGCAGTTCTGCAGGAGCGGCCAGGTGTATTCGGTGCCACCAGGCTGGGGGCCCTCAGCACGTGCTCCGCCAGCACCATCCCATGCCTGGGGGGCTGCGCTCAGAAGTGCTCTGGAGTGGCTCGAGCACCGAAGGGCAGCAGCTGAGGTGCAGCACGGCACTGAAGCTGAGGGTGTGTTCGGCGTGGGATGGGAGGCCAGCACAGGAGCCGCTCTGCTCTGCCTGCTGTGCCCGGCGCCCACGCAAGATGAATTAGTGCACGCCAAGCTGCTCCTGCGAGCGGCTGCTGCACCGCCCCGGGCAGGAACCGCCAGGAGAGCTCTTGCCACCCCGACTCTCCTCTGAGGAGGAGGAGGAGAGGGAGGAGACAGGATGGGGGCTCAGAGATATTCTGAAGGGGGCAGCCCTCAGCCCCCCTTGGAGCCACTGGAACCAAGAGCGTTGGTAAAGCAGCCTCTCCCAGAAAGGACAAAATGGCTGCAGTTACAATTTTCCAACCCACTGACGGCCACTGCACGCGTGCTCCAGTTCCCAAGGGCTCCCAAGCACTCCGCTTCCACCTGCACGTGCACAAACGGGGAAGCTGCCCAAATGTGACCGCACAGAACCACCGCACTCCTTCTTAAAGAACGCCGGGCTGGGTGAGCCTCTTCAGCTGGACCACAACATCCACCTTGCCCGAGTTCGGTTTCCTTGCTGCCCAGCCAGAGGCTTCCACGAAGCTTATTGGTGCAGGACAAAGAAACAGACATGTGGGGAGACGGCAGAGAGAAGGGAGTGGGACAGGAAACCGGAAAAGCCAATGTGGTGGCCCAGAAAGGGGGCGTGCCTGCTCCGGGAACCACCCCCCTCCAATGGGCCCTGTGCATGGATGCCCAGACAGAGGCGCATGTCAGCAGTGCATCAGCCTCCCCGGGAGCACGAGGAGAATGTTGCAGCCGCAAATGCACTCCTTCTCCTGCCTGGAATTCAAGTGCCATTTCTGGGTGCCACAGGAAAGATGCTTCAGGAGGAGGCGCCGAGAGAGGGCGCTTCATTGGATGGGGGCAAGCAAGGTCTGGGCTGGGCTTGGTACAAGCAGAGCCCAACGGGAGGGGGTGCCTGCTTCTTCCAAGTCCAGCTCTGTACCCAACCCGACAGGGCCACTTTTCGCATCACTCCTCCCGGGGGGCACGGATGGGCAGGCCAGAAAAATCACCCCATGCTGCAGGGAAGCGCTCTGGATTTTCCAGGTTTCCCCTTTGGAAGCCTGCTGAGGTGGGGGGCGGACAGCAGAACCCCACTGGCACAGTGTCCAGGCTCGGGTGTCTGCAGGGCAGCTGGGACGCTGCAGCGGCCAGCCAGAGCAGATCATGCCGGGTCTCAAGGACCGAGGGGCTGATGTGGGACAGACAACACTCTGTGTCACTCTGTTCTAGCTCTGAGGAAACTGGTGGGGGTCTGGTCAGTGTGCAGCAATGCTCCATCACCAGCCAAGTCCTCCCTGCCCTCCGTGCCCATGCGCCTCCCTGGGTCTCCCGGGCCAGCGCCAAACAAGTCAAGCACCCGGCCCACTGCATCGTCCCTTGCCCCGCATCCTCTGGCACCGCGAGCGGGGCTGCACTCACTCGGAACCTGCGTGCAGCCGGATGCCTCTTGGCAGGACAGGCGAGTGGGTCTGTGGAACAGCACCGAGCGGGGAGGAGGCCGGCAACATGCAGGGGCGGTGCTGGACCTGCACATACAAAGCACCCAGCACGCCATGGGAACACCTGAGGTGGGAGGGGGAACCCCGGCCCTCTGGAGGCCACTGGATTCCAAGCCTCACCCATTCCAGTCTGGCCAGGGATGGCCGCCACCTCTGTGGGACCACAAGCGGCATGGGCCTGGGCCTGGCCGAGGCCCCTCAGCCGTGACCGGGCCGGCTCGCCCTGCAGCTGCAGCATCCTGGTCAGGCTGGAGGGCACAGGGGGCTGGTGGCACCCCACCTGTTTCCGAAGAGGGCAGGGCAAGTGCAAAGGCCAGCGGAGGTGGCGCAGGAGGTCTGGGCTCCTGGGGAAGTGGGGAGGCAGGAGGAGGAGGAGGGAGGAGCCAAGGAGAAGTCAGTGGAAGGGCCTGCTTTGCGCAGACTAGGAAGCGGGCCTGGGGCTCCAAGGACAGCATGGAAGAGCGGGCGCCCCTCCTGCCAGGCTCCTGCCCACCCGCCGAGGAGAGTCGGAACGCAGGCGGCTGCCCTGGCAGCTGGATCTCCACCCAGAGCCAGCCTGGAGGCCTACACTGCTCATTCCGTTCAAACACTTTGCACTTCAACTGCTAGAACAACATCCTGCTGCTAGGGAGAGGTATTTCCTTACCGGCCAGCAACGCGGCAAGCCCAGAGGGAAACGGGGAATTTCCAGACAGGTGGCCAGTGGTATCAGCACCGCCGCGAAGGAAGCCAG